CATTTCGCAGGTTCTCATCGTTTTGCATGTCGATGAGGGCAAGCTGTATTCATTCAGATGCATTTTCAGGCAAAATGGCAAAAGAGTTGCGAAATAAACCTAGCAACGGTTTTACTTTTTGAAAATCAGAAAAACGATCCTTGAAGGCTGATATTAAATTATCAATCTTTTCAACATATAGAGTCTTTAAGTTGACATTGAACATTTCTGAAATTTTTTTGTAATTAGGGAAATGGACGTAATTCTCTGACTTTAATTGTGTTTGAAATAGATTTAACTTGCATTGAAAAGATAAAAATATGGCTGTAAAGTTGAGTAATCAACTGATCTCTACCAGCTATTTTGTTATCGTGTGACTTGTTAAAAGTTAAAATAACACAAGGTGTGGCGGGCCGCTAGCAAATCAACGGAGGGCCGCATGCGGGCCGCGGTCTGTGCATCCCTACTTTATCCAATAATGCTCGATTTCAGTGTAAGGATCAGATGAGAGTTGGAATTTGATTCGCTTTTGCTGTTTATTGGGTCGATTGTCAATCATTTCTTTCGGGCGGAAGAGCCAGGCATGGTCGTTATTTTCTCCTAAGGCAGTCATTCTTCAGGGATTTCAGGGTCTGGCATGGCGGTAGAACCGGACTCCGTATCAGAGTTTGCAAGTGTTTGTAGACCAGCGCGTTGTAATAAGTCTTGGAGCTCATTTGGTGACGGGGAAGTGTTCTTCGTTATTTCCTCTAATATTAGGTTGGTGCAAAAATAATTGCGGTTTTGAAGCATGAACTTTAAAATAATATATTTCGGGTTAAAATGAAGTTATTTAATCAAAATAGGAACCATTCGATTCTATACATTTCTGCCAACGTAGTACAAGTTTGTTTATTCCAGTATTATAGAATTCTGGTGTTCTAGAGGCGATGAATTCTTCAACTGCGTTTTCGACTGCTGCTTGAGTTTTGAAGTTCTTCTCACGCAGAAAGATTTCCAGATGTTTGAATAAATGATAATCCGTCGGAGGAAGGTCCGGCGAATACGGTGGATGAGGCAAGGTTTCGTATCCTAGTTCATTGAGTTTCTGTACGGTGATTCGTGAAACATGTGGTCAGGCGTTGTCATGCAATAGGATAGGTCCCTTTCGATTGACGAGTATTGGACATAAATCTTTCAACTTTTTATGCATTTTGTCGATTTCGTGGCAGTATTTCACTGATGTAACAGTTTCACCAGGTTTGAGAAAATTATAGTGGATAATCCTTCTTCTGGACCACCAAGTGACCATAACCTTTTTTTGATGAAGTTTTGGCTTCGGAAAATGTTTTGGTCCTTCATCTTGATCTAGCCACTGAGCAGAATGCCGTCGATTATCATATAAAATCCATTTTTCATCGCATGTTATGATCCGATCAAGAAACGGATCGTTTGTGTTCCGTAACAACAGAGCAGAGCAACTCTCAAACCGACGAAATCTCTGGCTTTCGTTCAGCTCATGCGGTACCCACTTATCAAGCTTTTTGCATTTACCGATTCCTGATAAATGGCGAATAACTGTTGAATGGTCAACATTTAGTACCTCTGCAACCTCACGAGACGTTTTACGTGGATCTGATTCGATAATGGCCTTTAATTCGTC